ATTTCACGACAACAAGTGCGCCGACACGATGAACAGACACCACGTCGGGGCTCTGGGAACGGAGTCGAGGACGAAAATTTAGTATTCAATGTCCGGAGCATCTTTCTGACCACCTGCGAGCCTTGTGGAAACTTCCGAGAGCCTCAGGGGTGGACGTCTGGCGCAAGAGCACGAGTGGAGGAGGAGACAACATGACGCTCCACGGAGTAAATTGCACCCAGTTGGTTTCTACCCCCGCGAGGGGCGTTGCAGGTAGTAATATTGCAGCTGAAGACATGAGAATTTGTGGTGTGTCTCGCGTTTGCTGGATGCTCTTTGTGCATCCTGGGAAGGGGGTGCCCTCGAGGGCTCTGCAGCGTGGCCGGCGGAGGGCCTCCTGTTCTTGGATGGTGTCCTTTCAGGCAGCGGCGAAGCGTCCTGGCGCGCCCGTCGGCCTGCCAGGCAGCGTGCTGCGAGCCTTTCGTGGCCTCCACGAAGTGTTCCTAGAACATTTATGGCTGGGCTGTCTTGGTTACACACATCGGGTTTCTGGTGTGGTCTTGGGAACATTTTGGGGTTATGTGAGCATGTCGTGGTAGACCTACAGGAATGCCGGGGCGGTCGGGCCCTGTTCAAGTCCTTTTGTCCCAGGTCCAGCCGTGTCGCATGAGGAGCGGGCCTCGCGGCTGAAGTAGGACAGCTCGCGAGGGGTTGCCGGGTCCCGACGTTCTTGGCACTGACATGATGGCAGTTTTTTTTTTTTTTTTTTTTTTTTTTTTTTTTTTCTCTCTCTCTCTCTCTCTCCCTTTCTCTTTCTCTTTCTCTTTATCATTTTTTTTGTTTGTTCTCTCTCTCTCTCTCTCTCTCCCTCGATTATGTTGTTCGTGGTGTTGGCCGCGCGGAGTTGATGGATCTTTTTGCTTGGGCAATCCACGTCAGGAGCGAGACCTTGAATCATACGTTACATGTATTTCAGGTAGGTGGGCACTCCCTGGAAGGACTTTTCTTGTCATCACCACGAGGTTTGCGAAGAAGGGTCCTCTGCGGTACCTCCCTCGGTGCTCGTCCAGGGGTGATCGGGGGCCTCTTGAAACTCGCTGGCGGTCTGGAGCCGAAGAGGCGAACAATGGGAAAGTCAGACGACTCCTTGGCATCGATCGGACGCGTGCATTTTTTTCTCGGCGAGGACAATCAACGGGCATCTATTTGGCAGTGGCGCGTCCTGGCTTGATTATAAACCTACCAAAAACTGTTCTAAGAACCGTATGTAGTTTGCACGAGATGTTATTCGAACATTCCTGGCTGAGACCGTTTGGACTTCACCAGTCGGGTTTATGGTCTAAGAAACTTGTTTTTTTCTTAGAACATGTATGTCGGTTGTGATCACATTTCGTGGTACGCCTATAGGAGTGCCAGGACGGGCGGTTCGTGGTCAAATCTAGGATCACTTGCGCAGAATAGACCCGCGAAACCGAAACATGCACGGGGAATGGACGTCCGAGCGACTTCGAGACTGCCACTCCACGATTGGAAGAGCAAGTTGTGGTCTCGCGGGCTCGGCCTGCCCACGAGACATCCCGGACGTCTCCAGGACGACCCGCCGAAGCCATCTTAGGGCATGCTGGAGGCTTGGATTCCTCGAAAAAAAACAAGCGCCATAATCAAAAACTTTGGCGCTCCGCGCTGCTTTCTTGGATCCGCGCTGGTCCCCCCCGGTGGCGCCTCCGGCGCCACCTCTGGCGCGTTCCGCGCGCTGGGGAGGGGGGTCCAGCGCAGATCTAAAACATCTACGCGGCGCACCAAAAGTTTACGTTTATGCCGTTGTCCTGTTTCTAATTCCAAGCTCCCGAGGCCTCGGGCAAAGTCAGGCGCAGGGCTCGCGCTAAACAGTGTGTTGACGATTTCGTGGGCCGTTGTCGTTTTGGTTTCGTTTTGCAGCAAAGGCAGAACGAAAACAGAACGAAGGAAAACGGAAAGCTAATGAAAATGATACACATTTGTTAGTTCGAGCCCTGGTGAGGCGACCGTCTCCAGGAGCGCTCAAGAGCGCCCAGGGGCACAGCCTTTGAGTGTTGGGTTTTTTTGGCCGTGAGCCCTGACTGGTCTTTTGACCCCCCCCAAATCGGGGGGAACTGATCATGTGTTCAGTGGTCTTATTGATGGACTGGGGTCCCACCAATCGGGAGTAACTATTGTTTTTCTCCGCAGCACCCCCTCAGGAGGAGGAGGAGGAGGCGGAGGAGGAGGAGGAGGAGGGGGGGGAGGCGGAAAAGGAGGAGGAGGAGGTCTTAGGACCAGGCCTGTTCAGCGCCGAGAGAAAGGGGGAGAACACAACCAAATCACTTTAGCAGTTACGTGCTTACGATATGCCACTTCGAGGAGCATTGAGGGCCCGATGACGCTCCACTCAGCGGAATCTCTTGACATGACTACGACCAGACCGAGGTATAAGATCGAGGTCGATTCGGGGAGGGTGCCCTGATGTTTGTGGG